TTCATGCAACTTCATACATTGTGATTGCACAGGGTTTGGTTTGGTTTGTTTGTTTTGCAAAGATTTCATTTTTTAAAGTGTGAAGTATCTTGGGATGCCTGGCTGTGTACTAGATTTCAGATTTGAGAATCCTACCTGAATAAAATAAAATACTTTAAATGGGAAACCTTTTGTACTTTGGATCCTTCTCTAAATCTTTCTACGTGAGTAGTAAAATAAGAAAACCTGGAAATCACCAGCTTCAATAAATTTATCTGTCACTTCACAGGCAAGGTCAGCTTTCACCCCCCACTTCACATACACAAATGCCCATGTGCATATTGGAGCATGCCCCGGGGCTCTAGCAGAGCTTGATAGATGCTGAGATAGCAGTGTTTTGATAGAGGTAATTTTCCTCAGATGGGTTTCAGCACCCCATGAATCAAAACCTGTCAGAGAGGAGCTAAAGATGGAGCGAAGTTTATTGTAAGCGTGTTTGCATCTGACACTGGTGTGCTAGGGGGTCAAGTGAGTGAGATCATTAGAACCGTGTTGATTTAGTGGAATTGTTACACACTTTCCCTTCAGGCAATGAGGGGGGGGTGTGGAGTGATTATAGGGAGTTACTGGAAAAATAAATAAAAACCTCAGTTCCCTACAGTCTCTTACATACTCCACAACATCCGTTCATCCATTTAAAGTTGCTGTTTGGCTGTTCCCCCTCCCACCCTGCCCCACCCCCTGGTCAAATTGCCTTTAGGGCACAGAGATACTGACTTGCTTACTATCAATGATTTAAGTAAGGAATGTAGTTTTTCCATGGTTAGCTGAACCAGCTGCATTGGGATATGCATAAATTGCAGGCTGCAGTTACTACTAAGAACTTTTGCTGTCTTCACTAACTGGAAGATGGGAAGATGGATGCAGCAGAAGACACTGTGCCCTGCTATGTTTTGATATTATGAGGGCGTAATCAAGCCATATATTTTGCAGGTAAAATCCACATTGCACTAATCCACAGGGTTGTTTTCCATGCAGGTTAATCTCAGGCAATAGTAGTGCATAACATATGAGTGGCTATGCATATATATATATTTATTTACATAGGTAAGGAAGCCACTGCAGATATCATCTGACCAATTCTTGTGCCCTTAGAAAAAAAAAATGACATCTTTGCTGCTGTTCACAAACATTAATGCACAGTTTAAAATAACCCTCGGGAATACCGTTAAGTGCTGGCTATATTTTTATGCTGTTCCAATATAAGGTAACTGCACAGTGATGAGCGTGGATGTTACTGGTTCTCTGGTTTCGTCAGCTCATAGTACAATTTAGATATTTAAGCTTCACAACAGCTGTACTATAAAAAGTTGGTATTCTGTCTTTGTTAAACCAATCTTTCAAGGTGTTTACAATCCAATGGGGGGGCGGATCTCAGGAACTCTGACAAACTGGAACACAGACAAAAAGGACACTGACAAACTGGAACGTGTCCAGAGGAGGGCAACCAAAATGGTCAAAGGCCTGGAAACGATGCCTTATGAGGAACGGCTAAGGGAGCTGGGCATGTTTAGCCTGGAGAAGAGGAGGTTAAGGGGTGATATGATAGCCATGTTCAAATATATAAAAGGATGCCACATAGAGGAGGGAGAAAGGTTGTTTTCTGCTGCTCCAGAGAAGCGGACACGGAGCAATGGATCCAAACTACAAGAAAGAAGATTCCACCTAAACATTAGGAAGAACTTCCTGACAGTAAGAGCTGTTTGACAGTGGAATTTGCTGCCAAGGAGTGTGGTGGAGTCTCCTTCTTTGGAGGTCTTTAAGCAGAGGCTTGACAACCATATGTCAGGAGTGCTCTGATGGCGTTTCCTGCTTGGCAGGGGGTTGGACTCGATGGCCCTTGTGGTCTCTTCCAACTCTATGATTCTATGATTCTAACTCCTGCATTTCTAGTACCTCTGTGTGTATGGCATGCAAGAAGGTACAACAGCTCAGAATTCACACCCATCTCTCTGTGCTACATATGAGGAATACTCATCAGCCTCCTTTTGTTAGCTATACCAAATATTGTGTATCTGGGCTCATCAGGATCACTTGACAATTTGGGTTTGTGAAGGTCATGTAATAACATTTAATATAAAATAATTGTATCATATTTATAATGGCCTTCAGTTGTCAGGAAAAGGTTTAGTAGATGTGTTGGAGTGGAAAATTCATTGTGAAAAGTATTCTGTGGCCAGAGAAATGGCAAACCTGCAAAGTTAGACAGTAACTGTTACGAAGTGTTACAAATGCGCAGAAAGCGTATCTGCATGCTGTTATGGTGACAACTGCCCCTGAGAAACTTCTGCATTTTTAATTAAACATTTCAGTTGTTCCTGTTGCCACAACAGATGAAGTTGTCATAATTAATAAAGCTGAGCCTGGTTGCTATGGTGTCATTGATGTAAGGGATTGACATAATGAAGGCAGTCCCACCACTCGCTGAGGAGGTGTTGAGCGCAACTACTGTGACAAAAGTTGCCTGCTGCACCAGTGATGTCATTGGGCTTGCTTTGTGAATTGATTGATATTTTGTTTCGCATTTGTTTTAACAGTGCTGCTTGTCATGGCTTGACTGATTAATATCAATTAATCAAAGCTGAACAGATCATCATTATTTGTACAGATGTAATGTGGAGGAAAGGGAGGCTTTATATAGTCATAGGAAGAGTTCTATCCTGGGGTTTTTTATTCTCACAAGTCAAGTCATTTTAATACAATCCAGCTTGAAAGCAAGGTTCAAAATGCTTAATGGATGTGGGAAGCTGTGCATTCAGCTAGGAGTTCATAGAGACCAGCAATGCAGTTAAAGGTTTTAGCTTGTTTCATTTCTCATTTCCACCATTCTGCTGATTCTTGCATCCTCAAGCATGATGGTTGTGAAAGCCTATCATTACTCCAATGCCTCTCATGGCCAGCACTGCTGGATAATCAAATAGGGCAGAGGGGAGGTTGTAAATGTGTTGTGTGAGCAGGTGAGGAGAATTACAGGAATAGAGGAAGGTAATTGGACAGTCTTTTGCTGCTGAAAATAGCACAAGAGAACTCCCATGGCAAATGGATGAGGTGGAGGTTCTTAAAAGGTAATGATGGCTTGATTATTACTGTAGACCAAGGCCACCAGCATGGTTAAAGGTTAAGAGAGTAAAAAAGCCTCAGGCTTATGGAAAATCAACAGAAGAGATCTGAAGTACCTGCATAAGCCAACATTTATTTCATAATTGAAATGGAATTTATAAAGATAAGCTCAGTGCCGTACAGGCCAACTTAATGAAAATGTTTCCATTAGAATGGGAGAAAAATGAATTAAAAGATGACCTTTTAAGAAAGGGGGAAATTAAAATGGTGGAGAAGATGCATTTTATATATGTAGCTAGCTTTTATATTTTGTATACTGCAAAATACCATATATGTTCTTAAGTCTTGTGCAGTAGTACCTAAAGAATGAGTCTCTGCCATGTGTTCGGATCACTTAATCAAATAACCTTCTATTCACATTAACAAGATAACAATATCCTAAAGCAGATTTAACAAGCTGCCTCAGTGATGACTGTGAACTACTATAATGAGAACAGCCTTAAATTGCATGTTGTGTTTTCTTAATGTTCTGTAGATCCGAACTATGTTAGATAGCAGATTCAGGGTTTTCTGCCCTTCAGCCTGTGTGTAACAATTCCACTATATCAACACTGTTCTAATGATCTCACTCACTTGACCCCCTAACACACCAGTGTCAGATGCAAAAAAATGCTTGAATACTCCAGATTATCTATATCTACATACAGAACACTAAACCATGGTTTATTTAACACCAAGTCAATGATCCCCAGAAACCTGAGCAAAGAATTGGGCTCATGTGCTTTCCATTCCTTTGCACAAGGGGTAAGTTCATTACCCCAAGCCAAGATTCTTTGAAAGCAAAACTAAACTCATATCTCACACACATTTAACTTGTATGCATTCAGCTTTATGCACTTGGCAAACAAAGTAAGGAAAAAAATGGGAGGAAAGGGGTGGGTGTCTGAGAAAAGAGACTTTGACAACCCCTCCCGCCATTGTGTTTTGACTATACAGTATGAGATTTTGGCTTTAAGCGCGATTCTTGGAACATCGCCCCCTGTAAGCTGCTGGCTTACTGTACAGCAGAAACAGGAGTGGGGAGGGGAGAACATGAGCTTTGCTCAGAGTTGTGGAGGCTCACTCATGTAAGCACTGAACCATGGTTTAGCGTAATGCGTGAAGCAAAAATACTGTGACTTGATTCACACATCATGGTAAGCCAAACTGGCTTACTGGGGTCACTCAAACATGTGACTGCTTAGTTCCTCCTGTCTTTTATACCGCCAACCTGCACTGAGCTAAGCCAGGGTTTGGCTTAACATGCCATTATAATGTAGGCTTACTATTAAGCTCTCCGCTTGCTAACCACGTGCTATATCTAAGATTTGTCCTTTGAAGTTTTTCAAATAAACAAACAAATATGGCTAGGAAAGAGAAACAGAGAGAGCTAGCACATAGAGTGAAGATTTACACAGTCAGTGTCACAACAGCGGAAGTGCAGTGATGAGCATCAGGAGAGAGGAATAAAGAAGAGAAGTATCTGAAGTAAGAGTATATGCTCCCTGAAAAATTATTTACACGGCTGTTTTAGTTCTGTATGTACTACATAATAAGGATATGTCATAGAAGCACAATCTTTGGGCAAGCCTGAGACTAGAAAATTAAAATATAAGGACATCTAGCTTGTTCAGAGACCTGGCCTCCTGTTCCATGAACTTCATAAAGACACATATTCTCCATCCAGAGAAGGGTTTCAACTGTTATCGGAATAACAGTTAGTTCTGAAAACTATGTTCTTCTGTAAATTCCCTTCCAGCAAATGGTTCTATGAGACTAAGAAAGAAGCAGAATCACCAACTAGAATGATTTTATTGGGTGATACAGACAACTTAACACTTTCTCCCTTCTTTTTTGTATAGACGGAAGATGATGAAAAGCTCAAAAAAAGAAAGGAGAGGTTTGGTATCGTAACAAGCTCGGCTGGGGCAGCAACCACAGAAGATGCAGAGGTAACTTGTCAAACCAAAGCTGATAAGGGGCATATTCTATTATTATAATGGTGTGGGTAGAAGCTGAGGACAATTTGTGACGAATTGTGAAAGAATGCCAAACACTCCACAAGATGGCACTGTGTCTCTTTTATCCTGTTCTCTGCCCCCACCCCCATGGTCCCACTAAACTATCCTAGGTGGTCATATAACACTTCAGATACTCCATCAATGGGCGACCTCAGAAATTGCTTCTTTTCCACTTCAAAGATAATACATCAGGTCATTACTGTGCTTTGTGCGGGGAGGGGGGTATTTTCTGGGGGGGGGGAATAATCTATATTGCTTCAGATTTTTCTATCACTATCTTGATGAGAAAGAGGAGGCTATAAGCTTATAGTTGCTAACTTTATCCTCATAACAACCCCTATGAATTGTCCAAGACCACCCAGTTAGTTGGAACTGGAATCTGGGTCATCAGGTCCAAACCCAGCTTTCTATCCATTGCAGTGGTAGCATGGTGATTTTCAATTTGATGTGAAACAAATACCGTGCTGGGTGTATGGAACATTATCTACCTGCCTCTTTATACCACTAAAAAAAACACTGCCTACTGAAATCAATGGCAAGCAGAATGGTCTAAATAAACGTCCAACAAAAGCGAGATTTTGATGTTGTAGATTTTAGAAGCTTGAACCCCACACTTGGCTTCTTTATTTTTGCACCATGCTGTAAGTTTATTCACCTCACGAAAATATCACAGAAGGGTACTAAAGGAATCCAATGTTGTTTTATAATAGCAGTTTGTTTATTTTGTACAATAACAATTTCATTTTATACTAAATTTGTTAGTCTTTAAGTTGCCACAAGACCCACTGATTCTGCTGCAAGCGACTGACATAGCCTATGTCTCTGTATAAAATTATTATTTTTCCTGTTGAAACCTAGGGGTTTTCCCCAGACATTTCATAGTCATTCTAACACTTCAGTAGTGCTTTCCTCATGTCACATTTTGCAAATTCTTTGTGGCAAGAATCTGTCGTCTTATGTGTCTTATGATCCCTTCTTTGAACTATTTGCCTAATTTTAATCCTCCTACTCTAGCATGACAATTCTTTGTTTCTGTAAATCCATATTCATGCTAATTGTGATTGGTATTGAGCCATAATGCCCATCACAAGGGGTCCTATTTTGCCTATGGAATGGAAGCAGTATTTGGGTCCCTGATTCCTCCTCCTTTGAGGAATCCTGAATATTCTATGCAGGAAGTTTATTTTCTTTGGCATCTTGTGTGGGGTTCAGATATGGTTTGGTGCTTTTTGTTTTTGCCAGATGCCATGCAAGCATTGCGCTACAAAATGAAGTAGCAGCTGTAGAATGATCCCCCTGTTCACTTTGAGCGAAGGGGGTGGCTGGGCTCTGGTCTGAGGGATTCCATGCTTTTCCGTTAGGTCACTTAGAGAGTGTGCCTGAAACAAAAAGGTCTTTTTCTAGTATTGTATATGCTGAATGGCACCTTTCCCCTGGAGATTCTTGATTAGGACTTCTGCTACCCCCTAGGCTATTTATCCTGGTAAAAATTAAGATTTATATGCCCCTGGTGTATTAACTTGGAGGCATATCTCAGAGACGCATGAGTATATTTAATGCATTTGACTGTGTCCCTCTCGCCTTCCTCATGAATAGAAGAGTGTTAACCCTTTGGCCTTTTACATTTCCCACCTCCCCATTGCCTGGAAGGCTTTCCAGGCCTGTAAAGTGGTCATTGTTCCAAGCATAGCTCTCTTGTATAACCCAGCAAGATGAAGCAACCACCAGGCCACTGTATCTCATGCTTTTACAGCTTAATTTCTGACTCTGGTTGGAGGCCCTGTTGCAATTGCAGTGCCCCTTGTGAAATTTGATATGAAAAATGCTTTCTTAAACCAACACTGTGACACTTCTTATAGACTTTCTACCTTTCCTTCTGCCAAAACACATGCTCAGCATTGCCATTCCCCTTGTTCTTGATTTTCTCTCTCTTTAATCCCTATTTGCAGGCAAAGAAGAGAAAAAGAGCAGAACGTTTTGGCATCGTCTGATGATCCTTCCTCTTAGCCTTTACTTGTTTGGGATGTATCTTTTATACATTCTTGTTCTTCGTCCCTAATGAGGAATATAATTTTCTCCCCCACACAAATCTTGGCTTTGTATTTTAAAACGAGCTCTTCATTTGGGCTTTCCCCTCACCCCTCCCTGGCAGACTTGTAAAAGAAACAAATTTCAGAGCCTAGAATAAAAGTGTTCTGTTTGTGTATGTAACAATTTGAATTCTCTGGCAAATTCTCTCATTAGCCACTTGTAACCAAACTATGCCTCCAACTCGCTTCCTCTCTGTACAGATGAAAGCAGCTGCACAAAATAAAGGGATTTGGAAAATATGAGGAATATTAATATTTTTGTCACATTATTGAACTCCAGTTGAAGTAGTACGTAAATCCAGAGCTGTCTGAACCTTCCCTGTAATTTTACAAAGCCGTTCATTGTCTCTTTATTTCAATTCTCACATTGCCCATGGCTCAGAAATAGTCTTCCTCTTCTGTGTCTACTGTTTAGTAAAATAACTCAAAAGGTTCATCTGTCTCACCTGACTGACCCCAATCTGAAACTGTTTTTATACTTAAAAGTATTTATCTCCTTGGGTTCTGCTAAAAGTTCTCTAACATTAGGTCTTAGGAAGTCATATGATGTCAGCCTTACATCTATATGAGTCATATATTATTGTCAGCTGAAGCATTGGTCCTTTTTTTAATGCCTTGTGCAGATATTATGTATTCTAAATGATGTTTTTAACCCATATAATGGGATGAATTGTATCAGACTGTGACTGGCTGCAGTATAGAGCATCCCAGGATGCGGAAAGTGAAAAACTTTACCATGAGTTTCTGAAAGTTCATTTACTGCAAATGCTGATAATTTCCTTCTCTGAAAGTAGCATCAAAAAGCTCTAAGATTATAGCTGTGGAAAGAATTGTTGTAAAATGTAATGTTCAAGTTCAGTGTTTTTACACTACTTTCATTTCCCAGGTGGATTTTCAAATTGCACTGTTTTTTGTTTCTCTTTTGAGTCAAAATGCTTCTAGTTGCAATTTAATAAAGATAACAAATTGGAGAAAGCCTCTGTCCTATCACATTGTTGCATCTCATTTTCTTCCAGATAACTTATTCATGCTTGTTTCAGAAGTGCAGGGCTATCTCACCAAAAATATACCTCTGTCCAAGTGATTCCATCTTTATTCCTGTTTTATTTCATATAGCCAAACCCCCTTTTTACAGGTATATTTCATATTTTATATAGGGAAGAAGTTACTAGACTTTTTCTATGTACTAAAGGTATCCTTTCCTGTTTGTGTCTGGATTTATATACTGTTATTGGTTTGGCTTTTGGAATGAATGTTGTTCCATTTGTGCTCCGAGTATGTGTGTTGGGGGGGGGGTGTTTTATCCTAATTTTTCATTCAAAGGTGAATGGCTTTTTTTTGTATCCAACACACAACTCCTTTCTTTTGTGTATAATACAGATTAAAGAATGCATTTAAAAGCCATTAGCTGACTCTTGTTGATTTTATACTGAATTCATTAAATGTTGTGTGTTTTATTTGTGCTTTTCCAGTGTGCTTGTGCTTTCATTATCCATGCTATCTCTGAGCAATTTTCTAATGATCTGGTCCTGAGGTCGTATGGTATCAGTTCAACACCCTAATTTCTCAAAATGAATATTGTGATTTTATTTTATATGTTTAATTTTGTAATATGTGTTTTCTACTCATAAACTTTTGGCAGTTTGATTACTTGGTTGAAATGTTTTGCAGCTTATGATGAAACCAGAACTGCATTGCATTCCTGGTTTCATAACAAAACTGCTTCTTTACGGCAATACTTGTATCTTGCTCTTTGAGAGATCAGAGCATAACTGAATGTACCTTTTGTGTTTACATCTACTGGCATGCAAGTTTACAAAACTGCAGCTAAGGGAACATGTAATGGTCTTGCTTAATTAGTTCTCAGTGTGGAGTTTTAACTGTAGAAAATGCATAATTCTGATTATTCGTTTTCAATACTACACTGAGTTTCAGTTAATCATAGGATTTTTCTCATATATTCTGGTTATTTCTGTTTATCCAACTTCCACCAAATGAAAGAAGAGAGAAGGGGTGCACAAGTTCTCCCCTTCTGAAAGCAGTACTATAGCAACCAAGGTCACATCATTTGGGTTTTTTTCTAAAATATGTATACATATCGCTAAGAAATTATATGTTTAAGTTTATGAAACAGCTTGTAGTTATTAGCCATAATAATAAATTTTGTTGATGTTTAGGGTGCCACGAGATTCTTAGGTTTTGCTGCAAGAAACTAACATGGCTACCCATCTGGAAATAGTTACTAGTTAAGTTCCTAAAGAAAGGTGCAGATAATATTTATATAATTGTACAGTCTTATCTAGCAAAGCTTAATTGTTGTGGTTGGGACGGATCTTGTCCTTGCTATATAGTTTGCAGAGAAATAAATCTCAAAGAGGCATTTATCTTTGTGCATCCACCTTCATATTTATTCTTAGCTCAACAAAAACAAAACTAGGGCCCGGAGTGATCACATCTTATTTTTTCTTTTTCACATTAATTCATTCAAATAATTACTCCCTCCTAGTTCTGTACTCAATTGCTAATTCCCACTCCACACAAGGGTGCTTTAAGGAGGGGTGCTATTGACTCTTTAACTATTCATTAACCACTCTGGTGGTAGAGTATAAAAGGACAGTTACGGCATTAATCTACATTAATTAATTTTGGGTGTGCACTCCTAATAATTTGTCTAAGGGACATACACCAGTTTTGAAGCAAATAAGGCAATGGCTCCGATTCTCACACTGAATTGGCTTTGGTGTGCAGTATTCATATTGTCTGCTTTGTGTTTCACAGAAGTATTAAAATGCCTGTAAATCATGGCAGCAGCTGCTAGAAAACAAACATCCTGTTTTGGTGAGGTATCGCCAAATGGAAATCTAGTTGCCTACATTAACTCAAACACTTGTGTAGATAGAATCCAAGAAATATTCAACCTGGAGCAAATTCTGGTAACTGCTGCAATCTTGCCACGCATTTAAGGATAGTGTTGCTATTGTAACAGTTCATTATTCCGTAGGTTTCATTCTTGTTCATTAAAAACAAGTAGGAAAGTTAAGGCCTGGGCATTAAATGCAGGCTTCTCTGTCCAGCCCTTGGGACTCTCTGCAATCTGCACCCTATTTTCCAATGCGACACCCATCAGTGGTCTTAATGCATACCCTCTTCAACTGTTCTTGCCTGGCAGGAAGTTATTCTTGAACTGACTATGCACCCTTACTTGCCTGAATACATGGGGGTGTAGAAACCTCTGACTTTTGCATGGCTGGAATGTAGTCTACTGTACAAAGGGAAGAGCTGTTTCCCTTGCTGTGCCCATCTTATTTGCCCCTGGCTCTGTCCATAAATAGTGTGCTGCCTCGAGAAGGTTGCTCAGGAAGGATTGTGGCCCTTGGGCTGCGAAAGCTTCTCCACTCTGCTGATTTAAAGAGTTTTTGTCCCACTCTCCAGCCAAAAATAGCTCCCAGAGCAGTTTATGAATATCAATATTAAGACAGTCCCAGGGCTGATGCTTACAATCTGAAAGAATGTAAAAGGAAAATTGGGAGAGAGAAGGAAAAAAGCAAACTCATGCACTAGTTCTTTAGTTACACAGTTCTTATAACAACCAGCTGGAACAGAAAACAGTACAAGGAGATGATGAGCCAAAAATTACTTATCTCTCAGCTGGGCCAATTTAATGGCTCTGCTTCCAACCTCTTCCTCTGTCTACTGTGTTCCATCTTTGGACGGAATTGCATTTGTCAGGTGGCAGTTGATGGAGGGAAGAACCTAATAGCTGCTTCTAATCCAGTGGTTAGGATTATTATTGGCCTACAACTCCCATGATCCCTAGCTAGCAGGACCAGTGGTCCGGGATGATGGGAATTGTAGTCTCAAAACAGCTGGAGGGCCGACTTTGAGGAAGCCTGTGCTAACATTTGTTAATTCTGCTGTAACTGCTGCTTCTAAATCAGTGGAGGCAATTTTACTGTTTCTCCATTACAGGACATAGATGAATGAATATACAAGCATCTTTTTCTATCCCTTTATTATACTGAACCAAAGGCCCATTGGTGGCCGTTGTTTTCTTTAATTGAGAACGAAATGGGAGGTATTCAGCTAAGTTTTACTCAGAGTAGAGCAATAGTAAAAAGGTAAAGGGACCCCTGACCATTAGGTCCAGTTGTGACCGACTCTGGGGCTGCGGCGCTCATCTCGCTTTACTGGCTGAGGGAGCCGGCGTACAGCTTCCGGGTCATGTGGCCAGCATGACTAAGCCGCTTCTGGCAAACCAGAGCAGCTCACGGAAATGCCGTTTACCTTCCCGCCTATTTATCTACTTGCACTTTGACGTGCTTTCAAACTGCTAGGTTGGCAGGAGCAGGGACCGAGCAACTGGAGCTCACCCCATCACGGGGATTCAAACCGCCAACCTTCTGATCAGCAAGTCCTAGGCTCTGTGGTTTAACCCACAGCGCCACCCGCGTCCCAATAGTCAGGTTCATTAATTTCAAAGTTAGGTCCATTAATTTCAGTGGATCTACTCTGAGTAAAATTGAGTTGAAACAGAACAGCTGCAGTCCAGGTTAACTACTGGAAATAAAAGATAAATGTAAATATGCACAGAAAACATGACTAGCTGATTTAAAGGATGGTTTGATATCTTATTATGGGTCCATCTACACTTTGCCCATGCCCCCCATTTCAGTGCTTTAAATAAAAAATACTTTTTGGAATACGTTGCTTATCAGTCATATCTACTGTCCTATAATAATAGTATAGTCATAACTCCTGTTCCCCACCTCCTTTACTTACCTAGCCACCTTCTGTACCCGTCAAGGGTAACTGTCCCTCCGTATTTATTCTCCCTGCCTTTGGGAGAAGGGTTTTATTAGAGAGGACACTATCTTTTCGAGGGTACGCATTGCCCCTTCTTCAGCAAAGGGGTGGGTGGGGGGTTAAATCATTCTAATCAAACTGTGTTTAAAACACTACCTAATTTATTTTTCCTCTCTAAGCTGGGGGCTGCTCGTGACTAATTTGAGCTGAATAGGCAGATAGAAAAAGCATCAGGCATACAATGAGCGGCAGAAAGTGTGGGAAAACTAGCGAAAGAAAGGGATGGCCGAGCCTTGCAGCGTGAGAGCTAAGGAAGGCCGTGTAGCACCCAAATTCAGCATGAAGTCACTTTTCAACAGTAGACGCTTGGGCTCTAAATGCAAGTAGGACTATAGGTCAGGGAGGGGGGAAATGGAAATTTGTGTTAAGTTTGCACAATGTAAACGGGAGAAGGGATCTTGTGTGTGTGTGCGTGCGTGCATCCCTTCACAAAGAAATACAAACACATGTTCTTCCCAATTGCAATGTCCTCTTCTCCCCAGTGGCCTCTTGCCCCTGAGCCCTCTGTGGGTGGGTTTGAAAATCTTTCTCCTGTTTAAATTCAGGAAAATAAGAAAACAAAGGGAGAAGGGGAGCCTGGAAGTGTGTGCCAGTGAGGAGTTAATAAAGAGAAATGTGTCGTCCTCCCTGCCCCCAGTCCCGCTGCTCTTTTAAATATTTATAGAGACACAGCGAAATTTTATTTCTAGAGGCGGAGAAATCAAGTGACCTCTCACCTGAAGCTCTGACCTCTTGAAACTCAGATTATTTCCCCTCTGCCAGGGGAGGAGTTAGAGAGGATTGGTCAGTTTCATGCCAGCTGTGAGATGAACTGCTTCCCTCATTTCTCTTTAATGTCAGCCACTTTCCACATTGCCTCTACTGATCCCAAGAAGCAGAATGGTTGCTTTAGTTTAAAATGGTCTGGTTATTTCCACATCAAATTTCTCCTGGAATAGGCACTAGTCTTGTTAATTACACCATGCTCGCATCTCTACCGATGCATTTAACAAATTGGGGTAAATACTATAAGTACTCTATAGAAGCAATGTCGTTTGGTTTTACTACACCTGGTACCATATCATTTAAGGCGTCCAGAAGATGCATTATGTGATCTATCCGTGATAGAAAGGCCTTTGGTTTGGGGTAGCTGACACATACAAGTTTTCGGGGTATCAATATCAAATTCTATCCTTTTCCCTGGACCACGGTTTGCCAGGCAACTGAGTTACCCTGTAATATGTCACAATCAATGTTAATGGATCATATCTTCTCTAATATCTATACTTCCAGATGTTTTCCTTCCAGGGTTCAGGGGTGCTCCTTCTATTGCTTCATTTGTTTCGATACCCCGCTCCTGGATTTATTCCTCAGATAGTAACTGGATCTCTGTTGTGTTTGGTCCCCGCTCCTGGATTTATTCCTCAGATATTAACTGGATCTCTGTTGTGTTTGGTCCCACTTTGCTTTCCTCTTCGTTTGTGGGGCAAGTTTGTTGGGGCCGGTTGTGGATGTTGTTGGAATCAATTTATACAGTTTCTGCCACTGTTTTTTTCTAACAC